TGAGCTAGGCTAAGGGCTATCTGGAGCCCGATGTCCTCAGCCTGCCATGCCTATGGTAGAGCCACTACTCTGAGAGTAGGGCTGTGCTTCTCCAGGACTCATCTTCAGGAAAAAGTCGCTGGAGGCGGGATGAGAAACACTGAAGTTCTGCTTCTACAGGAAGACAGCCCTCCAGCTGTGAGCTGGGGAGGGGGATCCCGTGTTCTTGGCAGCTGCAGTGTCTGCAGGTGAGCCTTCGCCTCACTGAGCTGTAGCTACGTTGGTTCAAATACTACAGACTCTGGGACTGACCCTGTGGCTCATTCAGGAGAGTGCGGCGCTGGGAGCGCCTAGGCCGTGGCTTCGGATCCATTCTTGGCAGCTGCAGTGTCTGCAGGTGAGCCTTCGCCTCACTGAGCTGTAGCTACGTTGGTTCAAATACTACAGACTCTGGGATCGACCCTGTGGCTCATTCAGGAGAGTGCGGCGCTGGGAGCGCCTAGGCCGTGGCTTCGGAGCCTATATAGGAATGGCTGGTGTGCTCACTGGCTGAGCGCGGTGCAGACGACACCAAGCCAAGGGTTATGATCCCCTTACTGGTCACAAACAAAAAACAAAACAAATACTACAGACTCTGGACTCCTTCCTGAATCTACTGAATGTTCTCAGATAGATGTTTCTTCATTTGCCATTTGTATCTGGTACCATTTCCAGAGACCTAAAATGTTTATTTTGTATAGAGTTTTCACCAGTTTCACTGCTCTTTATACCGTTATGCTGGTATAACTCTCTTTTTAACAAAATTTATATATACATGTGTATATACAAAAACAGGACTAGTTTGGAAACCACCACACACAAAAATTGGATGACATGTGATCTACCACTCATAATTATAACTATGATCTGAATATGTGTCGTGGATGTAAAGTGAATACTCTAGTGCCCAACACAGGGCACCTACTCATGGATAACTCACAAGATGTGGAGGGAGCTAAAAATGATGAGTTATTCTTTTAGTAACAGCCAAAGATATGGAGAGAAGATGCTTCTTCAAGAAGCTTGTGATGCTGCAGGTGCAAGGGAAACAAGATCTCTAGTTGTGGTGTGGAACTCGGACAATGAGAAACATGGCTCCTGCCCCCCCCGGGAAATTGCAAATTAGTTTAGGACACAAGATGCTGCTGACTTTAAAAATACTTGAGCTGTAAGCTCACTTAAGTTCATCTAGTATGATGCTCTTATTTTATAAATGAGGGAACAAAGACCCAGAGATTCACTTTCCTAAGTCTGTTTTAGTAGAATGGTCTAATCCAAAATGTAAACCTCCTGATTTGACCCAGTGCTCTTTCACAAATAACTGTACTGTGAAGCTGTGACCAGTGTTCACGAGAAGTAATGACTTTGGGGGCCGGTCCGGTGGTGCACTCCGTAGAGTGCAGCGCTTGGGAGCGCGGTGGCACTCCTGCCGAGTGTTTGGATCCCATATAGAGACCGGTCTGCTCACTGGTTGAGCGCAGTGCGGGCGCGACACTGAGGGGTGCGATCCCGTTGCCGGTCACGAAAAAAGACAAAAAAAAGAAGAAGAAGTAATGACTTTGGAAAGTCAGAAGCAGAAGCAGGAGCAATCACTATAGGTGTTGTGACCAGGGAAAGCTGCAATGTGGAAGTGAAATTTCATCTGAGTGGTAGAGCAGTGGTTCCCAGCCTGACTGTACAATAGAATCACCTGGGCATCTTTCCAAAATCCCAATGCCCAAACCTTGCCCCAGGTGAATTTTTTAATGCTCCCAGTTGATTCCAGTGTATAGCCCAGATTAAGAAGCACCTGGTGATGGGAGGATAGGAGTGATCAGGAAAACTTGAAAGAAGGTATTTAAAATGGGCAGCAATGATCACCTAATGTAAGGAAGTAGAAAAGTGCATGGTGTTTTGAAAAGACTGTCAATACAGACATTTATAAATGTCTTTGTTGTTGAATAAAGCCAAACTGCCTGTGTACCTATCTGGATTCATTTTGCAGTGGTCAAAAACCACTAAATAGAAAGGAAGGAATAGACCTGAAGCCATGTGTTAGAATATTAAAATGGGGAAGACCCATGCACCCTGCTCCTAAAGCAAGCACACCATGTTTCTCTCACTTCTGCAATGACCCACAGGTCTCTGTGTCACAACATAGAATATTCTAGTTTAGTTCTTCCAGCTAGGAGTATTTCAGCCATTTCTGAATGACTTAAACCTGCTCTCAGGCTCTACACCCAGGCTTGCTCATTTAGGAATGAGGACAATTAAGATTTTTAGTAGACCTGTCAAGTGCATGCATTTCTCATAAATTATCTTGTCTAATTCAAGGAGTTAGTGGTGTACAAGGCATTGGTAGGTCAGCCATTGGCCACTGGTTTCCCTGGCATGATGTGCCCAGGCCCTAATTCCAGGGACATCGTCTCCTACGGAAGCCTTCCCTCACTCCCTGGTGCTGGCCTTCCCTTCCTCGGTGCTTCCAGAATCACTTTCTATGACATATTATCATTGTGTAGTTACATCTGTTTTTCTACTAAACTGAGACTATGGCTTCTACCTTCTATAAAGCTAGGGCCAGGGCTCACAGACCCCTCAGTCCTGTTGTACAGACTGGGTCAAAAACCCTTCACATGCAGGTCTATGAGCTAGGTAATAGGAAAAGGTCCTGGGAGCCGTGGATAAAAAATTAATAGGCTTTATTCAGAGCTAGGAGCAGCCACCCTAGTGGCCTCCTGGAGTGTCCCGAGAAGCACCATGTATCAGAGCCATTAGTCCTTTATACTTAAGTACATAACCCAGGACACCTGGGTGCCCATGCGCAATTACATTAGACAATAACCAAGGAACACCTGGGCGCACGTGCACATTTACATCAAATGCTCAGCAAGATTCTGAACATCTGAGGGGCCCTGACCATTTCATTTTCCTATATTTCCCCAACACTTTTTTTTTTTTGTATTTCTGTTACCTGATACATGATAGATACCTTACATAGATTTGTGTTGTTATCACCACTTTATAAAAGGGAAACTGAGGCTCAGGGTAATAGCAATTAGTGGCAGAGCAAGGACTGGCACCCAGGCTGTTCGACTGCAGGTGCATGTTCTGCTGAGCTTCCTCCACTGCTGTAGTTTTTGGACCTTAGACTGGTAGATTGTGAATGTCATGACCGTCCTGTTATTCTAAAGCCTGCTACACCTGGAAGGTAACAAGGGCCAAATAAGTGTTTATGCACTGATTCCATAAGATCTCCTGACACCTTCCTACTCCTCCAGAACTATGAAGGAAGCATGTCAGCCTGCCCAGGAGACGCTGCTACAGAAGGAGAGCGCTCTCTGTCTGCATTACAGCCTGAGCTGAGGGACTGTGGGCAGACGCAGTCAGTGGGTAGAACTGGGACCTTGAAAATTAGCTACCGTGAGATGGATTCTAGTTTGTTTCAAAATTCTGTTTTCTGTGACTGGTCCCTACTAACTGAAGACTTTATAATGAGGAAGGGGATTCTCTATCACTGGACACCTTTTAAAAAGGCTGGACAGAATTTTTTTCTTGTCTGACATATCATTGAAGATATTTATGCATCAGAAAATGTTGTAGTTTTAACACAGACTAACACAGTAATCACAGGAGAGATTTCACTGATATCTGGGCTCTGCTTCAGACCAATCAGACTGAGCCTTGGTGGGGAGAATTAGCCATCGGTAGAGTCAAAATGTTTACCTGGTGATTTTGATGGGCAGCCAGAATTAAGAACCACTGAATTAAGAGGTTAGACAAGAGTGAGGGATCCCCAATACTGACTGTTACATCAGAATATTTTAAAATATGGATAAATTATTAGGTCACTCCCTGAAATACACTAGTTCAGAATCCTTGGAGGAGGGAGCTTAGGAAGACAGAGGAAGAAACCCATAATTTAAAAAGTTCCCCAAGTGGTTTGGATGAGCCCTTCTAGCCCTGGGAAGTGGACCAGCATCACAGAGCACCTGGGCTAGAGCACAGCACCTGTGTGACTTCTCCTGTCTGTCCAGGTACTGTTGTGCCACTCAAGCTGTTGAGCTGTTGAGCCCCTCTCCAGCCCTATTCTAGCAGAAATATTTAGTCGCCAGCTCCATACAATTCCAGCTTATATCATTGTCTTCTCTCCCCAGAGTCAGCACATGCTTCAGTCCACATTCTGTTCATGCTCGTGTTCTTGGGTTCTCTCAATAATTTCCAACCTATAAGGCCCGGGTTGGTTTCATCTCCAGAAGGCCATATCCTTGCTGTGAGGGAGGCACCTTCCCCCCCCATCACTGCTTTGACAGAAAAACGTCCTTCTTACTCCTTCTGTGTTTAATTTTAATTTGCTTTATAATATCAGTGCTCACTGAGCTCCTGTCAGGTCAGAAAATGAAAGGAGAATTGCAAAAGATTAAGTTATTCAATGCCAGGCTTTTATGAACCGCAGCATACAGGGAGGGGTACTTATTTTTATAATCTCTTTCCCCAGGACTTGAAAGCCTGAAGGCTAGCCTTTCTCTTCAATAAAACAAATGCTTTAACCTAAGGGGAGGGGGGTCTTTTCCCTGAGTCGGTTTGTGTCCGCCATCAGCCACAGATGCACACAAACAGAAACACATGTATTCATTACCAGGAAGCTCTTGAGCCTTGGGCCCTTTCTGCATCATAGGTGATTACAGGTGGGCCACAGGACAAAACCCTACTCATGCCATTTTTTGGGGAATGGACCATTTTTAAAATTCTAATAAAAATTATTACAATGTGAGAAAAGTTAATCATGCTTGTAACCCTGTTTGCAGATGTGATGTATTTTCCAGATGTAAAATAACATCAAAAATAGTCAATGAATACTAACAGACACCTCAGAATGATGAATCAATAATTGTGTGCTAATCACCACACACTGTGCAATTACTAACATCAAGGAATTTTGGTCATGTATAAAAGCTCATTTACACTTTTATTTTTCTTTCTTTCATTCTCTCTCAGTGTCTCTGCTACACAAAAGTTCAAAATCACTAAAGGCAAACACGGAGTCATTTTATCTGGAATGCAGCCATCAACACCAGGATCCCCTGAGATGCCAACATGGACACCGAACTTCAAGAATAACCACATTAATTAAGACTTGTTGGTTAGTTCTCAGGGTCCAGTTTAAATGCTGATACAGTGTGTATATTGGCTTTTAAAGAAAACTCTCTACAGAAAACTCTACTGCTTTCCAATAGGACTCTGCTATAGATTTACTAAAATATATCACTAATCAGCCATCATTTTTCTTTTTTAATAATGGTAAAAAATGTTGATATTTTTATAAGATAAATCATGCAAGCATAAGATTTGGGGTCATTTAATCTGTATGTACAGATGGATCTTGACTTGACCTTCTTTGCTGTTTTTGAGTTGCCTTTTGGGGATTAATCTGGTGCAGGGTTGCTCTTCAGTGCAGTGAGGAGTCGCATGAGAGCCAGTCCATTCGGTGGTTAAGATGACAGGACCACCAGGCTGTGCATTGTTGACAATGCTTTCTTCTTGTTCTTGGAGATGTGACCTGCGTCTTGGATCTGGCTTCCACGTTGACAGTATCCTTTTGGTGAATGGTGACATTAATCATTCACCTTCCAGTGTCATCGCTGTTCTGCTTCTGGTTTTTCATCAGTATATCTCTAATGTGTGGAACAGTGCCTGGCACACAGGAGGTGACCGGTAAGCATTTTTGATTGTTAAATAAATGCTATTGACATGGAAGCTATAGTTAATAATAATGTATTGTATACTCGAAATCTGCTAAGAGAGTAGATCTTAAGTGTTCTCACCACACACAAAATGCTTTAGTCTGTGAGAATCACTACACAAGGTATACTCACATCAAAATGCCACATTGTACACCTTAAAAATATGTAATTATTTATTTGTCAATCATACCTCAATAGAGCTAGATAGAAAAATTAATTAATCAATTAATGCTGATTCCCAAATCCTCCTCCAGCCGTATCAATCAATGTGTAGCTCCAGTGGAAATTTTCATTTTGGACACCTTACTATCTCCTCAGGTACAATATACCTTAAGCCAAAACTTTTCTTCCTATTCCTCCTTTGTCAAAAGTGCACTCAACACCTTAACATATATGTATATTATCTAGAAAACCCTAAACATCTTGTAGGACCCTCTCACCAAGCTACAATTATCACTCCCCTTTCTGCATCACCAAATCATATTGTTTGTTCCACTATTAGGCTTATCACATTGCATTTTTGTATTAATGATAATAATAATTATCACTTACTGAGTGTCTTTACGACTGACATGAATTACTTATAAGAGCAATTATCACAGAGAGGCTATTCAATGTACCATTTTTATAATGAACTTCCAGACCTCCAACAGCTCCCCTACCACCCATCAGCAGAGCTCAGATGTTTTTACCTGGGGACGACAGCTGTCCGAAGGTCAGCACCAGCCTCCTTCTCTGTAGGGCTGAGCCAGTCAGATCCCCTGTGGTTGGGATGCTTGAACTCCTTGTCTTTCCCAATGTCTCGCTAACTCCCACTTAGGATTCTGAATATTACATAATAAGTACCTTACCACTGGCCTAACTCGGAAGCTGACCCTGGATCTGCACGGCGATGCTCTCTGATTCTGGATCTCTACTCCTGTCCTCTCCTTTGCTCCGTGCTCTGTGCTCTGGCTTGGTTTATGTTGCAGTTCCCATGCCTGAGTTCTCAATCCCTGATGGTATCTGTTACTCCAGGGTATTCACAGCACTTCCATCATCACAGTATTCCTCAAAACAATGCTGTAAAGGCAGCAGAGAGCATATGTCACCTCCAACTGCTGAGCAGGAAGGTAAAGTGGTATTGTGCATGTCATGCCTTCAAAGGACAGAAAGGGCAAAAGTGGAATTTCTGTCTGTTTCTCTCCCTGCCAACCATGCTGCCTACTGTTCCTGAACCTGCTTGATTTGGAGATCCCTGATTTGGTTCTTAATGAATAGTCTGGAGTTCTGGAGACTGTAGGTCTCCACTATAGTCCCCCATCTTCTGAAATCATTGTGACAAGTCTGGACCTGGTGACTTCCAGTCACGTGGACATTCTTTTCAGATACTGACAATGTTCGAAGTATAGTTATCATTCAGTCTCAACAAACTGTCTTCCAAATGCAAAACACTGAATAAAAATGTCTCAGGTAGTTTGAAAATAATACTTTTGGTAATTGATATGATTATTAACAGCTGAAACTCACAAGCTCTCAAATGTCTACTTCAAATAAATGGAATATAATTTGCGGCAAGTTAGCTAAACTTGCTTAGTATCAGATTCTTTAAAATGGGCAAAATAAACTTAGCTAATACTTGCACTAGATGCTCTTCACGTATCATCTTTATTCATCCTCACAGCTCTATGAGGCAAGTGCTATCACCTCCATTGACCAATGAGAAAACAGACACAAAGAGTTTAAAAGTGTCCAGCGCCACGTAATTAACGTTTGCTGAATTCAGGAGTTAGATCCATGAGCAATGCTCTCAACTGCTATGTTGAATTTTCCTTTTTTTTTTTTTTTACACAGTCTAAGATGTTGTTGGGAGGCAGGGTAGGGGTTGAAGCACACGCCCCCTCTCTGGATCCTGGGCTGCTGGCTCTGTTGCTTGCCTGGCTGTGGGTGGGAGCAGGGCTGAATAATAATTTAATAACTCCGTTCTTAACATCCAGTATGGTTCTACCTATTAAAATGAGGTAGCATTTGTTAAACTTTAGTCTATGTAATGGTGTATGATGATGAATTAGGGTCTGCATATACTTCTGCCTTAAAGAACACGGATGCATTAACTTAAGTGAAGTGTTTACCTTAACTAATGTATTTATGTGACCTTAGCTTAGACAGAGTCTCTGTTAAGAAGGACATTTGGAACTCAAAATTTCTCTAAAGATTGAAGCATTCTTCTCTCAAAGGCAATTTCTTGTGAGTAAAAAATGCAGAATAGGTTCATGAAAACAACCTACTACCAAAATGCATCATCATACACCATTACATAGACTAAAGTTTAACAAATGGTACCTCATTTTAATAGGTAGAACCATACTGGATGGTAAGAACGGAGTTATTAAATTATTTTTCAGCCCTGCTCCCACCCACAGCCAGGCAAGCAACAGAGCCAGCTGCTC